CCGCTGATAAACCCCCGCTGATTAGCACGCGGTGCAGGAGGGAGGCAGATAGGAGCGCGCGCCGTGTTGGCGACGGGGCGTTTGTGATCTGTGCACAGCTGGCTTTGGAGAGGCAGCAGCGCCGGGTGCTGTCCTGCATCGATGTCCTGCATCCTGCTCGTCCCTCTTCTGTGTGTAGCCCAAACAAATGAAAACGGCCTTTTTGCCCTCAGACTTGTCAGCCTGGGACAGGTTTTCTAGCAGAATGTCATGTGGGGCTGTAAAAGTGCAGTAATTTATGCCCTCGCTCCTGCTCTGAGTGCTGATTCTTGAGTCAAAGTGTCCATGTGAGTCAAAGTGTCCTCGAAATCACTGCTGCTCACTGCCTGCCCCGGCCGGCTTCCCACGGAGCTGGACAGGGTCTTTGGGCTGCAGCGGGGAACATGCAGCTCCTGGCTTTGGTGGTGGTCACCACAGGGGACACAAGCAGGGACACGGACCTGCTGGGGAACAATTTTGGCAACTTTGGTCCAATTCTGTGATCAGTACTGCGTAAAACTCTAAGCGGCTTCGGTAGCAGGTTTGCCTGAGTGACAGCATCAGAATCAGGCCTTAGGCAGCCAAAACGTCTTAGCGCTCCTCAGGTGATCCGTGCGTCCATCACTGCTCCGTCTCTGCAGGCCCTGTGGTGTAAAAGCCTTGATGTGCATAAATTTCCCAATTTTCATCACTTCAAATAGCATAAGAGCAAGCTGGTGGAGGCTAGAAGCGAATTAGCAGAGCAGACAGGCAAGAAGATAGGTAACGGGGTCGCTGGAAAGAGCAGGCTTATGAAAAAGAAATGCAAAATCATGTCCAAATCGCTCATTCCCATCGCGGCTCTCCTTCTCCGCCTCTGCTCCGACTCTCGTTGGGGCTGGTTTGTGCCGTTCCTCTGCCAGGCTGACAGCGGTGAGCAGTCGGCGGCGGATAAAGTAGAAAGAGGCGTTCACAACATTAATGAAAGCTCTGACAAAAAGGATGCCAAGGGAACTATTGTCTTGTTGGCCTTATTCTCATAAGGTCTGTGTGTAAGCAGTCTTTTTGGTTATGCTTGTGGCTTCTGTGACAAAGCAGTGATTTAGGGGGCTGTCTTTACCGAGGCAGAGCTTCTCGCACAGGCCAGACTGCCAGTGAGTAATATTTTACCACAAATTGTTGAGCTCGACAACTGCAGCAGGAAAGAGGGAGGGGGTTTATACTTGATTTATTAGGTGACTTACTGCAATTGGCAAAAAAAAAAAAAAAAGAATTTTTATGCTAGCACAGCCCTACATTTGCATAACCTGCAAGTAAAAGTCTTTATTAGTAAAACTGGGGAGGGGAGAGAAGTCCATGTTCTTCTGCCAGGAACCCCAGAGGTCACTTGGATCGGTAGGAGGCACACACATTTCAGCTGAAAATAGGGGCTTTTAATTGCTAGTCTCTGGATGCCTGCGAGCCTTTCCCAGGCCTCCTGCAGCAGTGCTACACTAGAGGGAACTATTCCCTCTCTAGCCAACAGCTGTAAGCAGCCCAAACCTGCTATCTTAATTTCTTTAGATCTGCACTTAACAGTGAAGGTCTAACAGTGGTGACTGGCCACAGTGGAGTATTCTGTGCAGAACTTCACTACCCAAAAGGAAAACGCTTGCCGTCAATGTGGTATTTCAGTGAAACCTAGGGATTCGGTCTTTTGATGTTATTAAGTTGACGTAAGTGCAAAATAATTACACTGGAGAATGATGTATTCTCTTTGTCAGTCCTTAAAGAAAGCCAAAGTTAAGGGAATGTCTTTCTAAAGTGGTGCTCTGAGAAGTCAGGAGGATGATCTTTAACGAGGGAGAAAAATTGCTTTTTGTCCTTGTATCACTGTAAAAATTCAGGTCATGTTTACTATGGGCAGCTGGAAAATGATGATCTCAGATACTAACAAGCAACATCTGAAAGGAATCATTAAAACACTTGTGCTGTTTTGTAAGCACCTACTTAACTTTTTTTCAAAAACAGTTTAGCTATTTTTAAAGATTCATTTGTCCTTGGAAGCCCCTGATTCAGCTTATCTGAAGTGAAAAAGAATGCTAGGTTGCTATTCCTTTTCATTTCCAAGGGAAAAAAAAATTAAAAAGAACCCCTCCCCCAGAACCCTATACAGCCTCCTTTCCACCTCGGAAAGGATAGAGACCTGTGCTTTGAAGGGGTTTTTTTTTGTTTGTTTGTTTTTTGTCCTTCTGCAAGCTGCCTTTCTGCCTTTATTTCCACTTGGCTGACATTGGCCTCAGCGAAGGAACACCGCGGCTTGCAGAAGCACAGATTTCTTTGGCCCTGCATTGTCCTCGTATTTACTGATACAAAGTAGATATGCAATGTTACTGAATAAAAATAAGTGTGTTTATCTTATTTTGTTCTGGTATCAATGCCTCCACATAAGGGTAACAGAGAATTGGTCCCAGGAGGTCATGAGCAATTAAATTAAACCAGGTGGGAAAAATTACTCAAAAATTGTTTGTGTGCAGGGAAACATCTGATAGTGTTATGGCTTTATGTGCTTTTACTTATAAGTATGTGCGTGGAGCCTTTGTAGTGCTTTTTTTGTCTTCTAAGGAAGCCGTTGCAAATAGGGTTTCTTCAGTGCTGTAATTGAGCCAGAGTCAAATTTGGAGACAGACTAGCTTCCTGGCAATTTGGTATTTGTGTTAAGTCTGGTCTGTTTGCATGCGTGATCCCCTCTGCTCTGGGACTCTTGCAGCTAGGGTGAAAACAAACTGCAATTAATACGTATCAGTGGCATAACGTTTCCTTCAACAAGTAGTTAATTTGCAGATCTAACACAGGCAGTAAGTTGGTATTTGGAATTAAGTAGCAGAGCAGCGTTACTGCTCGCAGGGCTCGGTGATGCTAGGAATCACCGACGCACCAGGGAAGGACACGTTCCGACTGGTGTAAGAAGAAATAAAGTTTTGAGGAAGAGAAAACTGCCATTTAGTGTGACTATCCACTGCTATTTAGTAGTAGTTTGATTTCTGATATGTGAGCCGTCTAGCCTGGCCTGTACAGAGTATTCTGCAGTTCTGAGATGATGAAATAATTACATGATTGCCGGCTTCTCGAAGACATGAGGATAATGTTCCTAAGTACCAGCAATTCAGCTACGACTCAGAAGAAAAGGCTGCTTGTAACAAACCCTTACCCCCGTGTGCCCCACGAGAGCACCCTCGAGGTCAGCACCCATCTACCCGCTCCCAGGCAAGTAACGTCGAGGGACGCGAGACTGCCCAGGCTGCAGGGTAAACGTGGCGCTTTACGCGGAGGAAGCGGGGTGCGAGGGACGCCGCCAAGAGCCCTTCGGGAGCGGGAAGCAGCGGCTGAGCCCCGCGGCAACACCCTGGGACAACCGGTGACAGCCTTTTCCTAGGAGCGGAGGAGAGAGAGGAGCGCAAGAGGGAGAGAAGTACGTCCCTTTTCTTAAAAGGGGAGGGAAAAAAAAAAGAGGAGGAAAAAAAAAAGAGAGAAAGTTTATTGCAAAACTCAGTGTTTCAGAGTATTTCCAGAGTCCACTAGGTACATTACAAACAAACCAGTAAATCCTGCTTTGAACACGTTAAAGCCTGCTTCTGGGTCTCTGAGCCCGCACGCACACATACTCGCTCCCCTGCTCGCGTGGTATGGTAGCTACATCGACAGACGGAGGTGTACGGTGAGGTCAGTGACAAACATGTTACTCGATCTGTATTGGAAACTGTTGTAAAAAAAAAAAATTACAGTAGAACCTCGTAAATCTGCAGAACAGGGAGCTTTCACACACACACAAAACCTGGAGGCCTTATTCCACTTCCAAGCAGAGTTGTAATAGCAAAGTGCTGTAGTGAGGTCTCGTATGACAAAGACTTCAATAATTTTACAATTATATTCTACAGAACATTTACCAAAACGCTTGAAGTATCATAAATTAACAATAAATAAAAGTACACCTTAACGCAACATTGTATTTGTTCATTTACTCACTGATTCACAAAACCCTAGTTGGCTGTCAGGGGTCTTCCAGTCATTGGTGCAACTTGGCGAGGTTCTGCTGTACGTGATAAAGTGCTGAGGCGCATAAAGGACACACAACTGCAGCATGGTCACAACAGGTCGCAGGCAGTGACAGTGAATTGCTCGAGCCACTTTGTTGCAAGAGTGCCTGTTACTTTTTGGACATCTAAGACAACTAGAAAAACGAATCAAGCACCTTCCCAAAGAGGAGGGTTTTTTTTTTTTTGTTTTTTTGTTTTTTTTTTAAACAGATTGTCCCACATTTCTATGGCTGGTAAAATACACAGACGTGTCAGTGTAGCAGTTAATGCATGATGCCACTTCCACTTAAATACACAGAAATGTTTTTTTTCTTCTTCTTCAAACCATGTGTTCTTTGAAGCAAAGCAGACTTTTTTGTCCCCCTGAGTCGCTTAGAGGCATAAAGATGCATATAGGTGGGGTAAGCAAGCTTGCGTCACTGGGAGGAGGAACCTCTCCAGATAAGACTGAACAAACAGCTAGTATGTTGTCTTTTATAATTCTCTTAACCTGATGATGTTTAAAAATGCACATGGGGTCTGGTTCATTTCTCACTAAAGTCAACAACAAAAAGCATCTCGCTGACTTCAGTGGGATTTGGGGAAACCGAGGAAGGGGGGCTGCGAGGGGTTCGAGGACATACCAGGCAGACCACAGCGGCCTGCTTAACTGCAGTGGGGTTTTGCACATTCATTCAGTGATGCACTTGTGCACCTATCAAGAGTGAGAGTTTTGGGTATGTTTAGATATTAAGACATACTGGGCCGAATCTGTGCTGCATGGGGTTCTGGTTAAAGCGATCGAACTAGGTCCAAATATACCAGCTGAGGCCTTATGGAGAGAGAGGCTTTACCTGTAGTGTTTGTTTTTTAAACAAAACAGCAATTGGGTTATTTAAGACCTACCTATTAAAAACAGCTACACTCTCTGCTGTAAAAATAAAAATAAGTTTCCCAACAACTTCACAAGCTAGCGATGCAAGATAGGTATTGAAAGGATTGACAGAAAGATAACTTTGTTATTCAAAAAGATTATTTTTCCTCTCCAGTTATTTAAGCTAACGGCCTTTAACAATCTGAGAATAAATTAATAAATACTAGTTAAATTAGAAACAGTACATCAGATCTGACTATCAATAGAAAACAGTTCAAAGGATACTAATTGGGAGAAGAAAAATGATCTTGTAGTGAAATATGTGCAGTAAGAACTGGCCATAAAGATGCATGGAACCTCTGATTTCCCAGCATTTGTGACGTTCAAGTTAATTAGAAGAACATTAACAATGCTTTAAGTCAGCTATCCAGCCTAGCCTCTTCCTCAAATCTAAAACGTGAGTCCACGTTCTTCTCAAAGAAAACTCAGTTTGTTACTGATGCCTTGCAAAATATTCGTCTTTAGTTAGTATCGTCTAATTCTTGACTGTGCAAGAGCTGCAGTATGGGATGAACTCAGACAGTCAGAGACTGAGCTAAGAGTCCGATGGGCTGCTTCAGATGTTCCCGTTCTCAGTTTTTCACTTGGGATCGGTCAAGCCTTTACCTATGCTTGCCACTTATCAGGAAAGCAGGAGTGTGAATCACATCTTCATGCTAGACAGAAGTTATTTTTATGTGGCTATCCGTGTTTTCTATGGAACTTTCCATTGTTGGTTAAAAAAGAAGTTGTCTTTCTAAGAGTAAAAAAAGTTGTTGATGGCAACTGTTCACATTTAAAATTTTGCATTCCCTTTAGAATGTAGTTTTAAAAGGTGGAGCACAGCTGACATGTTCCCCAGTCTTACACTGGGTACACTACACAGAGAAGAAACAGTTTTTTAGGCCACGCTGTCAGAGCCTTTTCCTGAATTATCTGCTTTTCCAAAATCCATTTCAATAAAGTCCTCCGGTAAGTCTTGTGGGGCTTCTGCCACGTTTTCTTCTATGCGCCGCTTCTGACTTTGACATAGTCCAACCTTGCATGGCCTCACTAGGGACAGAAACACAGCGCCCAGGACCATGCCAGCAGCACAGGAATAGAAGGCAGAGCTGTAGTTGTGTGTTGTATCCACTAAGACACCTAAGGAGGAAGAAACATTGATACCAGTTAGTCACAACCGACTCACACCCCCTTGCCCATCCCTCCTATCAGATTTTTTAAGCCGGTTACCACTGCATCATTTGATTTTGGGGAAAAAGGGGGGGGGGGGAACCAAACAAAGCACCTTAATGACATGACAAACACACGCTACCTTAAAACAACAACAAAAGAGGTGGTAAAGCATTGTTTCCAGGGAAAAATATTGTCATCTTCAGTCAAATCAGAATCCTTTAATTACTGCAGGGACTTGAAGCCTGAAAGACATCAGGCATCTACTTATTATGATAGCAGCTTCATCTTTTTGCAGACTGTCTGGTTAAGACATGCACAGTGAAAGCAATTCATGTGCATCTTGCACTAGAGCCTGAAGTGATGCCAATTTTAGGTTTCTAACAGGATCAGGGTAGCACTGCAGTGTTTTTCCTCGCTCTGAGGTTCCCGAGTGGAGAATGCCTCATCTGTGGGACTCTGCAGAGCTGCATTGCAGCAATCCTGTGGCTCTGGGAGTCTCCTGATTTGAGTTGCAGGTCTTTAGCACTAGTCATAGTA